TGGTTCAAACCCACCAGCCACTCCTTGGAAGGAAGGTTGGACAATGTACTTCCATAGTGATACTGCCTCAGAAACACAAGGAGGGGTCGCTATGAGTCAGGTCAAACTCAACAGCACAGAACAACAACACAATTATTTTTAAATACAATATAAAGAATTCTGAGGAGTGTATGTTTTATGTGTCATTGTAAAATTAAATATTTACTTTTCCTTTAGCCATAAAAAGAGGCACTTAGTAAAATTACACAATGATTAGTATATGCTTTAAAATAAAAACAAATTTAAATATAAAATGACATATTGAGTGTAAAATGAGTTTTAAAATAATTCAGGAAATCACTTTACCTGGCCATATTTTGCAGCCAAATGGAGTGGGGTCCAGTATTGATTGTCTGCTATATTGAGGTCTCCACCGTGTTCCAAGATAAGAGACACTACTTCTTTGTAGCCACTAGCACATGCCATATGTAGCTGCAATAACAGAGACTTTGTTATTTTGCTTAAAAATAACCAGCAATGTCAATACATTTTATTCAGTGGTTTAAAGAGAGCTATTTAATAAAATACCACAATTCAAATGTAGAAAACCTAAAACAAAGCAACATAAATGTACTCTGTTGGTATAAATAGGTGTCATTGTCATTCTTTGAAAAAATCTCAGGGCTATGCATGCATGTATTATTATTATTATAACTCTGATAATGTATGCTTTTCCATATAGTTCCTACCCTCTCAGTGCCCATTTCTACTGTAGTATGAATTTTTCTAAAGACAATATATGGTATTTTAATGGCCAAATCTTCTTTATAACTTCTTTACTGAAAGTCAAAGATTGACTTGCTTGCTCTAATGTTTCAGATACTGTACTTTATGTGATAGGAGGGGAACCAAAGCCAGATAACAAGAACTGTAATTATTGCTATCCTTAGATGTGTATTAAAGGGACAGACACACTATAAAGGATTAGTCTATCCTGTTAGGTTTAAAAATGTTTTTGTAGGTATGACTTTCACATTCTCTCACTGTAATTTCTTAATGTAATCTAAAGTTGAGAAATGTTAAAGAGGCCTTAGGAACTGTGATGATGAGATCAGGAGTTGAAGATTTTTTCAAAATTTTCAGTTAGAGGAATTCTTATTTCTAAGGCAGCACCCTTTATGTCTAATATCTTTGCACTCAATTTAAATTAGGATATTAATTAGGTGCATAATTTATCTCATAGACATAATAATTATGATGAATAAACTATGAGGCAAGGGGAAAAAATAATTTAAAAGTAACAAAGGCAATGATTTCTCCAAGAACTTATAGCATGGAATGTTGTAGTTCTCATCCTTTTTGTTTTTATTACAAAAGCAAATTAGAGTAAAAAAAGAGAAAGGTTTTGAGCTTAACTATATTCTTCAATATTTGGGCTTAACTATATTCTTCAATCTAAAGTGCATATTTGTGCTTACTTCGTCTACTTTCAACCATGACACTCATCAAATTTGTGGCATAGACATAAAGACATTTATTCATCTACTTTATAGCATAGACATTAAAGCATTAAGTTTACCTTAAAATCTTCCCATAGTTTGTTACACACAGGATTCACCTCAACAGTATTCTTGCAAACAATCTAAAGAATTATATATCCATAGATAATTTAGAGAAAGTAATTTTAAACACTTCCTCTCCAAGGAAACTAATCTTTTACCTGCCTCTAACTTTATTTTTATATTACTTGAACATTCAGTAAATGACTGGCATGTTATGAAAAGTAATAAGCACTAAATGCTGAATCTCAGATTTTCATTTTCGTTATAAAGTAATCAAGAATGTGTCTATTATTTGGTTAGTAATGATATACTAATGATGTCAGATTTGCAGGACCAACCATAGTATAAGCAGGTTTGTTTTCTATACAGCAAAAATTGGGTTCTATCTTTTAGAACTTAGGCCAACTCTCAGCCAGTTGCCTCATGAGCTGCTTACAAAAGGAAAGCTGGAACACTGCACCAGTAGCTTATGTACTAAAAAAGCTAATCAACGCATGGGCTACCAGGGACATGTAGGAAGACTAGTGCATTAATTCTAGGTAATTAAAAAAAATGTAGCTAACTTCCAGTTTTTTCACTTCATCATAAAGTATAACATATTTTAAATGTCAAAATAAAGCATCAAGTATGAGACTTTACCTTGACACTATTAGCAATCAACTTCTAAATCTGTAAGCAAGTCAACAGACTACATGGGGTACAATTAGTTTCTTCTCGCTAAGAACAGTCAGTTAATATTCTTAAACAAAAGCATAAACTTTTGATTTCAGAAATGGAATTCGTATCTCTACTACTATTCCTGACTACAGCTGGAAGATATCAGGTGCCAAAATTTGAAAGCTTGTATCACTATGTAATCACAATGATGTTCCAGGACTTCAGGACTGGGTGAGTTTCATTCTGTTATACATAAAATTGCATGAGTTGGAGCCAATGGGAAGGCAACTAACTAACTACAGTAATCTTAGAATACTCCTCTACTGCTATTTTTTAGGGTCTTGTGAGAAACACACAAAGTTATTATCATTTCTCCACAAAAAATGTGGTGGTATATTTGGAAGGACAGTTTCCATGCAAAGATATCATAGGTTGGAAATTACCTCTGCAGCTACAATTTAGAGCAAGATACTAGAGTGGTTTCAAAACACTATGTTTAAAAATTGTAAATTATTTATTCTAATCCTTACAATTTGAGATATAGTGATATAATTATCATCTCGATTTTGTAGATGAGGCAGGTAAGGATTGAAGAATTTTGGTAGTTAGTTCACAGAAGCATGGCCACGGAAGTTTGATGCCACATTCTTCTGCACTACCAACACTTAGAATTAGAAATAGCAGAGTAAAGTGAATACCTGAGGTAGCCAAGATATAACTACAATCTTAAAAACAAACCGAACCCACTGCTGTGGAGTCGGATATGACTCATAGCGACCCCTCCTTGGGTTTCCAAGATGGTATTACTATGGAAGTAGATTGCCCAACCTTCCTTCGAGGAGTGTCTGGTGGGTTTGAACCGCCAGCCTTCTGGTTAGCAGTCAAGTGCGTTAGGCACTATGCCACCAGAGCTCCCACAATCTTAAAGGTCCTAGCAAATCTTGCATCTGTACTGTAATCTATCACTTTGTTTAATGTAAACTTTTTCTTTTCTCTTTACTGCCTCTCCCTCCACACACACTAATCTTAAATTAAAATTTATGTTTCTGAAAGATACATAATATGTATACCTTCACTTTTCAGTGTTTTTCCTAGGTTACTACCAATATAGGCACAACCATGTTTGTTAAGTGTGCCTTATTGTCTCCTCTCATAGGCAAGTCCTGGCATTTTTTGATGTCAAAGCACAGAAAACAATTTCAGATTCTGGTTTTGGTAATCTCATTCTAGTAGGGTCAATTATGGTGGACAGATTTCAACAGGGTTTCAAAATAAGGCAGACAGAGAAGAAGGATGGGGCCATTCACTTTGGAAAATTTTGGCTTCTGATAATCTTATGAATAGCAGTCAAACATTTTTTGATATAATGCTAGAAGATTAGCACCTCAGATTTGAAGGCATTCAAAATACAACTGTGTAAGAGCTGCCTTCTCAAAGTAGAGTTGACCTCAATGATGTGGATGGAGTAAAGCTTTCTGGACTTTCATTTGATGATGGAGCATGGCTTGAAATCAGAAGAAATAACTACAAACATCCATTAATAAGTAGAATGTGGAATGGAGAAACTATAAATCTAAGAAAATAAGAAGTTGTCAAAAACGAAATGGAATGCACAAAGATCAATATCCCAGGCATTAGTGAGTTGAAATGGACGGTTTTGGCCATTTTGAATCAGAAAACCATATTATCTACCAAACTCAGAATGATAAATTGTAGAGGAATGGTGTGGCATTCATTGTCACAAAGAATGTTTCAAGATCTATCCTGAAGTACAATGCAGTCAGAAACAGGATAATGTCCAAATGCCTATAAGGGAGCTCTGGTAGCATAGTGCCTAAGGCATTTGACTGCTAACCAGAGGCTGACAGTTCAAACCCATCAGCCACTCCTCGGAAGGAAGATGGGGCAATCTACTTCCATAGTGATACTGCCTCAGAAACCCAAGGAGGAGTCACTATGAGTTGGATCTGACTCAACAGTACATAACAATAACAACAAGGAAGATCAGTTAATACTACTATTATTCAAATTTGTGCACCAACCACAAAATCCAAAGATGAATTGAAGATTTTTACCAACTTCTGAAGTCTGAAATTGACCAAACATGCAATCAAGATGTGTTGATTATAACTAACTAGTCATTGGAATAAAAGTTAGAAACAAAGAGGAATCATTGGTAGTAGGAAAATATGGCCTTGATGATAGAAATAACACTGGAGATCACATGATAGAATTTTACAAGACCAATGATTTATTCATTGCAAATATCTTTTTTTCAACAATGTAAATGGCAGCTACACACATGGGCTTCACCCCATGAGTGCATAGGAATCAGATCAACTATGTCTGTGCACAGAGGTGAAGGAGAAGCTCAATTATCTTCAGCCAAAGCAAGGTCAGCAGCTGACTGTGGGAGAGACCATCAACTGCATATATGCAAGTTGAAACTGAAGACAATTAAAACAAATCCACAAGAGCCAAAAATGACCTTGATTATATCCCTGCTGAATGTAGAGACCATCTAAAGAATAGATTTGATGCATTAAACACCAATGACCGGAAACCAGAGGAATTGTGGGATGACATCAAGAACATCATCCATGAAGAAAACAAAAGAGACAGGAAGGGAAGAAAAGACCAAAATGGATGTCAGAAGAGATTCTGGAACATGCCCTAGAACAGAGAGTAGCTACATTAAATGGAAGAAATGACAAGATAAGAGAGCTGAAGAGAAGATTTAGAAGAACAACTCAAGAAGACAAAGTCAATTATTATAATGAATAGTGCAAAGATCTGGACTTAGAAAACCAAAAGGGAAGAACACACTTGACATTTCTCAAGCTGAAAGAATTGAAGAGAAAATTCAAGCCTTGAATTGCAATATTGAAAGATTTTATGGGGAAAATTTGACTTTTGAAAATATTATGAATAGCAGTGATGAATGATGCAGGAAACATCAAAAGAAGATGGAAGGAATACACTGAGTCACTGTACCAAAAAGAATTGATCAATTTTCATCCATTTCATGAGGTGGCATATGATCAAGAACCAATGGTATTGAAGGAAGAAATTGAAGTTGCACTGAAGGAATTGCTGAAGAACAAGACTCCAGGAATTGATGGAATACTCATTGAGATGTTTCAATAATCAGATGCCATATTGGAGGCACTCACACATCTGTGCTAAGAAGTCTGGAAGACAGCTACTTGGCCAACTGACTGGAAGAGATCTATATATGTACCCATTGCAAAGAAAAATGATCCCACAGAATGT